CTCTCTAGAATGATTTACAAATGAGCGTTCTTGCTCATTTTGCCTCCGAGATATGAGCAAAAACGGGACGTAAAACATGAAATTTTGGCATAATCTTGAACCTAAGTGTTTGATATTTAAATTTCGCTTTCTGGGTCAAAACTACTCGAATTTCCTCACTAACGTGGTTACGACTGAATCAACTTTTCAATTCTCTATCCAACGATGCCAAAACCAATTCTGTGGCTCGAATGGTTCTTGAGAAACTTCGAATAAAGGCCATTTAGTTCGAACGCCAACGAACGATCGCGAGCGGAAAACGGGTTGTACTGACAGTCGATGGAAGCAAAATTGAATTAATTATATCGGAAATTAATAACTATTACACCTTTAGGTCGCCAAACGTTCGCAAATGTGGAAGAAGCAACTGAAGCGAGTACGAACTCGAGCAGTGCGAACAAGGCGTTTGGGAGAAACTTGAAACTAAGTGAACCTAATTTAAAAATTGTGGTGCATAGAGAAGTGGATTGGTGCAGTTACAAACTCAAGCGAACAAAAACGAGCAAATTTGAACAAGCGCGAGCGCAATTATTTGAGATTGTCGGAGTGATTTTCTCTCGAACTGAACGACTGAACGCAAAATAATTATTGGGATATGGACTTTTTCAACCTCAAAACACCCTGCTTTTAAGCAGAAAAAATAGTTCGATCTGAAAGTGCGTCAAAACTCAACATTGAAATTGTTAGATCGCACTTGGTGTCGTCAACAATCTGAAACCAACGCAAACGAGCACTTTCTCTCCCATTCCACCAAAAAGAGTATTTTAAAGTTTGCTAGTCACTTAAGACTCAAATAAAAGTCAATGCTTGTTGTATAGTATGCGAAATTTAATTATTATTAAGCGTGCTTCAAAGATCAAAAGGACGAACAAGCTTTCTTGAATAATCTAGCTGAACAAACTCGAGCAAGTCGAACGAACATTGTTTGCAGAAAATTGTATTTAGCGTGCATCCAAGCTCTTCAAACTACATGTTTTGGTTCGTCCTTCCTCCTAGAATCTTATTAGTGCGTATTTTGCAGCTAAGCTCTACTTTTCTTCCTGTTCGGCTTCGTTTATGTGGATTGGTTCTTCCGATATACGCCCGATGCGAGCTCCAACAGGAAAAACGCCAAGCAAAGCGTAAATCCGATGAGAAAAATCTCAATGGCAAAGTAGCATTCAATCAAACCAACGCTGATAAATGCGGAGTTTCTCCCGCGGCACGGTGGCAGTTTGTTAAATCTTCTGCGGCTTTCGCGCGAATGCACCCCCGTCTCGAATAACCTATGAAACCTAAAAAACACTTTTTAAGGAAGAACTAGAACTCTTTAAATGCGAATTAACTAGCCCAATCATGAGATACTCAGTGACGGTGGAATTAATCGGGCTGGCCAAATAGGGCTTATCTTCCTTGAAGATGCTGTTCACTTTTCTGACTGCGCACTTTTCCTGGTTGTTGAAAGTGGCCAAAATCAGGTCGCTGGCTGTGGTCAATTCGACGTGAAATGCAAAATAGGAATTCTGGACCAGCCGCATTCCATCGGTGGCCGGAAGGAATTTGTTGTTAGGCGCAATCTTTTTTTGGTAGATTAGCTTGCGGTAGTCTTCGTTGGTTCGGGAATTTGGGTGCTAAAATGCCATGAACCAACCAGCCGTCTATACTGCTTAGCCCGAAATTTACTCACACTGAAGTAGTAGATGTTATAAGAAGTGGCCTCCACGCCCATGTCCATCTTGGCCTCATATAGAGCCTTGTAATCGTGCAAGTTGTTGGCGGTGGCTTGAAGCAGGACAACAATTCTAGCGCAGAACGCATTGTAAAGGTAGCTGAATCCCAAAAGGAGGCTAAAAGTTGCTATTTTCCCAGCAGTGCTTCTCGGTTCGTGGAAGTAGTCCATTTGGCAAACCACTCCGATCTAGAACCTCCAAAATTGCTCCCAAATCTGGACATTCTTCGGCTTCAACACATTCACCTGCATCATGACAATATCCAGAAAACTGGCAGCATTTTCATTGTGCATCTGGCGATTGGCGGCAAAACTCGCAACTTTCGCCTCCCAGCTCATGATAATCCAGATGACCAGGCCGCAAAGGCTCAGAACAATCGCGCAACTGATCCAGATATTCGTATCGAAAGGGAGGGCAAACAGGTTGTGGGAATAGGGCAGGGGCGGCGCCCGAAATATGAAATGCAGCGACATTTCCTTGGTGGTGCTTACCAGGAACTTGAAGTACTTTAGGCGCTCGGTAGGCGTAAACATGACGGTGCCTAAATACAAAGCGATTTTATTGAATTGCCTGGAAAATCCCTAGCTGGAAAATACCGGCAGCATCTGCTTTTTCGTGGCACAAGTCGCCTAACAGCCCTTTATAGTAGAGCTTAGAAGGGTGGAACTCCTGGCCCCATTCATTAGTTACGACGACTTCATGGCTCATGTTCCAGATATCGACAAAGTATTCATACATTATGTAATTAATTTTGGTCGCTTTGTCTATATGTTTATTTCTGCAAAAATGGTTCATTTTTCATCAGCTTCCCACATAGCAAAATGATATTCCCAGAATATACCTGGAATATTCATGTGATGTACATGCATATTCCTGGGACATACATGAGTTACATTATGAACATTCCATGTATGTCCCAGGAATCTGTCAGAGTTAATACACT